GCGGGAGGGGCCGCAGCAGTGAGAGGCCCGCGTACCCCACCCCCACCAAAATAAAGGCCATGAAGTTTCTCCTGGTTCTCTTGGGAGGGCTGCATTGAGAGAAGCCAGTGACCATCTACGAAGTCTGACTCTCCACAGACTACCACGTCGGAGGGGCCACCTGTAGAAGCACTAGTCAACAGCCCCAGCTGAGCTCCTAGCCAACATCTGGCATGAGCTGCCAGCCACGCACGTGGGCCAGTTTGGATGTCCTGCCCAGCTGACTCTTCAGACGACTGCAGCCCAGGCTGGTGTCTGACTGTAACCACATGAAAGATCCCAAGCCAGAGCTGCCCAGCCAAGTCCTTCCCCAATTTCTGACCCACAACATTTTGGGTAAAATAAAACGGTGGTTGCTTTTAGCTACAACATGTGGGGCAATTTATTATGCAGCAATAATACCTGTACTCACACAGTGATCATGGGTGAGTCACTTGACATCTTTAAACTCTGAAGTGTTACATCTCTAACCGAATATCATGTTAGAACTGTTGCAAGGATGAAAAGGATCTTGTGAACCTTGGAGTTCTGAGCTAATACTTGTAGTTTTATTTTATTTACTTATGTATATGTTTACTTAATACACTTATTGAATGCTTACTGTATGTCAAGCCTGTGTGGTAGGCTAGGGTATCACCATTAACAGGATACAGTCCCTCCAGTCAGATAACTCAGATCCGGATGGAGGAAGTGGTCAGGAAACCAGGAGATGGACTGAAGTGTGGAAAGGCCACCACGTGGGTCAGTGCAGGAACTGTGGAACACATGGTAGGGGCTCGTTCCTGCCATCCTGGGGGCAGCAGAGAGAATGGTCAGGATTCCGGATTAGAGGTGTGGAAGTGCGGGGAGGCATGAGAGTGGAGGAAACACCACTGCGTAAGAGAAGCCGAGCGTCCGGCTTAGCTCAATAGTCAGTGAGTTGAGACTAAAAAAGGAAAGTGGACTGTTGTACAGAGGAAGGGGGTTTCTTGTGACCTATGTACATCTTGGTGAAAGAAGACTTCACAATGTGGCATGACGGAGTAGTGCCTTCCGTGCATCTGTCTAGGCACACAAGAATAAAACAATAAATAGGCAAACAAATAATCAAGAACAACAGACTCACATAATTGCTACCCTTAAATAATCTTTGTCACTTCGGACAAGCAAAGCAGGAGGTAAGGTTAAGGGTACAAGATTTGGGCTTCCCTGGTGGCGCAGTGGTTGGGAGTCCGCCTGCTGATGCAGGGGACACAGGTTCGTGCCCCGGTCTGGGGGGATCCCATATGCCGCGGAGCGGCTGGGCCTGTGAGCCATGGCCACTGGGCCTGCGCGTCCGGAGCCTGTGCTCCCCAGGGGGAGAGGCCCCAGCAGTGAGAGGCCCGCGTACCACAAAAAAAAAAAAAAAAAAAAAGGGTAGAAGATTTCAAGAGAAACTTCTCATTCTGCTCAACGCGAGGATGGAGAATGGCAAGACCAGGAGGCCACCACGGAAGCTTGGCTCCAAAATCTTTGCAAAACCCCTGTTTCCAAGTCAGAGTTACACAGGCATAGGCCTGCCTTAGGCCTAATGGCTGTGCCACAGCCAGCAGAGCTATTCTTTGACTGTCAGATGATCATGACTATACTCACAAAGTGGTGGTGGGGGGGGGGAAGGGGAGGGGGGATCAAGGAGAATCTAAGCAACAGCAAAAAACAAAAATTAAAAAAAAACACAGCACCTTCCCATTCGTCAAATATTTAAGTAGGTCCATTTAGCAACTCCACGACGTAAGCAGAATAAGCAGAATGGTGACTCCCAATGTGTAAGGCAGGTGTCTAGGAGATGACAGAAGAACAACTAATTCACAACCAGTTCTTGGGTGTCTACACCCAGGGCTCTTCCCTATACCTCTTGTGGACAATATGATAACTTAGCACTTCAGAATGGTGATGGGTGGTGACTACAGTGAGGTTCTCAGAGTAATCAAGGCCTCAGGCAGGTGAAGAGGAGAGAGAAGGGGACCTGTTTGGAACGAGGGACTTCAGTCTCCCCTTCATTGGGAAAGGTCCAATACTCTCTGTGGGAGAGACGTGAAGGGCTCTGGACAAATGCCAAATTTATTGAGCTCAGATCCATGCGAAATGAACTCAGTGCAATTTGCTATTTGCACTCCTTCTTTTCTCCCTTGGAGAAGTTTACGGTTTTTAGACAGCTTGGGTGGGGGGGTGGTGTGGGGAAGTAAAGTTAGAAAAAGAGGAAGAAAAAGAAAGACCAAGCAGCTGTAATACCCAGAGTGGTGCCAATACAGCTGTATTAGGAAAGAGTTGGGGGCTTTCTTGGGGGGCAGGAAGAGTTCTCCCATAACGTCTCAAAATGTAGGCAGGGGCTTTCCCCCTCCTTTAGTTCTTGGTGTGGAACCAGGCACACAGCAGGTGCTAGCAAGGGCCAGCCAGAAAGAATGAAGCAGGAGGAACTGTTCTCACCAGCACCCCCAAGGTGTGACGCTACAGATGCTTTGAAGAGACATTCTCCAGTTTAATCCTGTTTGCTGAGTTATTAGCCATTCAATCGCAAACAGAAATACTCCACCATGCCCTGAGAGTCTGCTTTTTCAGTTCCCTCTGCTACCATCCCCCCTCAGCCCTCCCACACTTCCATCGCAGAAGAAGACAGCATCGTTTCAAAGCAGACATCACAACTGAGTCTTTCTTCAGACACGGCCATCTAAGGGCACACGTTGCCTCCCTCTGTAAGATTCCACCCAAAGGTTCCTGCATCTTACAACAGCTGGGCAGAAGGCAGGTGAAATCCCTTTCTAAAAGCACTGTTGGGCTTCCCTGGTGGCGCAGTGGTTGAGAGTCCGCCTGCCGATGCAGGGGACACGGGCTCGTGCCTCGGTCCGGGAAGATCCCACATGTCGCGGAGCGGCTAGGCCTGTGGGCCATGGCCGCTGAGCCTGCGTGCCCGGAGCCTGTGCTCCGCGATGGGAGAGGCCACAACAGTGAGAGGTCCGTGTACCACAAAAAAAAAAAAGCACTGTTATGCAAAAACACCCACATTCTTTCCAACCTCTCTCCACTTCCTACAAGGGTACAAGCGCCAGGGAATTTCACTGTCATTCAAATAGGGATTCACTGGCAAGTTACATAGACTCATTAACTAAGACCTAGGATTCCTGGGTCCTCACCTTGGTTCTATCAAAGTTGCCATGTGGCTTCTGGTCAGTCATTTAACTTCCCTATTTTCTTATAAGAGAAAAATAATGGTTATCTTCCCCACAGATTTTGCAAAGTTACTATTCAGTTCGGATGAGAAACTCTTAAATGGCCAAGTCAGAAAACTTGATGGGTCTTCCCCAACCTGCTACTCTCCCAGGCTCCCCATCTTAAATAAAAAAATGATCTCTAGTCATGCACTTACTTACTCAGACCAAAACATGGCAGCCATCACTGGGCCCTTTCTTTCTCTCCTAGAGAAAAGACAATCCAACCCCATTTCTTTCTGTCCTCCTTGTCACTCACATTCGCCCTGGCCTATTTTCATCCAACACATTAACCTTGTTCTTGTCCCAGGGTCATGACATTGCTCTTTCCTCGTCTGGAATGTTCTTTTTCTACTTCATGCAGGCCTCTCCTCAAATGTCACCTCCTCTGAGAAGTCTTCCCTGACTACCCTATCTGATATATTATTTTTCTTTTACCCCCACATGCTCTACTTTATTTTTCTTCATAACATTTATTAATATCTCAAATGATGCCATGTCTTTGTTTGCTGCCTCTCTCTTCCATCAGAACAGAACTGTCAGGAGATTAAGATCTCTGTTTTTCCATCACCATACTCTGCACCTAGTCCAGTGCCGGCATAGAGCAGACACTCGATAAAATATTTGTGGAACGAATGAATAGCTAATGCACGTAAAAACGTGGAAAAGTTCAAAGCTGCACAGCTGAAGGGAAAATTATACATTATAGCTGTCCCTGCCCACTCCAAACAGAAAAAGACTTACATGTAGGTTTGGAAATCTCTTGTAAACACATATACGTTTCAACATGTATACATTTCAGGAACAACTTGCCTGCTTGGTTATGTGAGGAACTGTCTGGGGAAATGAAGGAAATGAAAAACGCATTTTGTTTTGCTCGGCATGGTGTGTTATTTCCCAGATTGTGCTGGATTTCACAGGAAACGCCTTCAGGCTGAGGGGATGAGAGTGCCAAGGCGAGGTGCAGCGGGACAGGAAGGCCCCTGCCGAGGACCAGATGGGCTTGTGCTGGGGGCAGGGGATGGGGAGAGAGCGTAGAGTGGCCTCCAGTGTCCCTGCCCCTCCCAACACCTCCCTCACCACACTCCCTCATCCACTGGTTCCAGAATTCTTCACTCCACAGTTAATGACAAAGCCTACCCTTCCAAGTGCTAGAAAGAACACATGACGTGAGCTCAGCCTCTTCCTTGCTGAGTGAGTTTTGAGAAAATTACTTAACCTCTTTGACTCTTTTCTGCATTTTTAAAAATGTTGTGTAATGTGAAAAATAGGGACCCTTATTCCTGCCTCACTAGCTCTTGTTTGAGATAAGGTCCTTGTGAGTGACACAAATGCGGGGATTCCCATTGTGACATGTCCATTACCCCCAATTTTCCCAGAAGGTGATGGAGCCTGACTTTAGAATCTTTTCCATGGGTAGATGTTGCTGAGTGGAGGTGAAGAGGTAGATAGCACTGGAACACGAAAAGGTACTTTCTTAACATAGCCCAACTATTATTTCACATTAAAGGAAATTATTTGTATTCAAAGATTACGTAACGGTAAAACGCTGAATGATTATAAAATATTTTGGCTCTTATTGGGTATGGGGGAGAGATGAAAAACCCTGAAATAGAAGAAGGTGGTGGCTCATAGGAAAATTTTATCATTTCTGTTTTGAAGGACTGAAGACTCCACCTTCCCACGCACATTCTGAACACTTCCGGCAAAGTGAGTCATCATGTTATGACAGCAAGTATTTGCTAAGCTTCTACTATATTCCTGTTTCTGGATCTAAACCAGTTCTCAGACCTGAACTCCCTGACCAAAGGAGAGCCTGGGTACCCGCGAGGAAGGCTCCGACAGCACAGCAAGTGTACGTAGCAACGGTTCCCCCAGGTCTTCCTCAGGGGATTTACGGCCGTTTATTTAGGCGATCAGACACCCAGGTAAGAGGAACATCCAGACTATTCAGAGAGGTGAATACAAGTTGACACTGATAGCCAGGGACCCAAGGTATGGTTAGAGTGGGGGAAATATGGACTGCCAGGTAACAAATGGAGTCCTCACCTAGGTCTATTCCACCGTGAGATGACCATTTCCACGGTCCCCAAGTGGATAATTTACATGGACGTATGGAGTAGTTGGCAGAACCCTCCTCCCATTGTTTCCTTGGTCTCTATTGTAAACTATCATAGTGCGGAAGGCAAGTGCAATCATCTCCATCTCCAGCCCAAAGAGGAAAGCAAAACCACGATCACATCCTGAGGGTAAGTAGCTGTGGTAAGTGATCCTCTTAAAGACCCTGAGGATGCAGGGATGGTGGTCTCCATCACATCGCCATGTAATCCACCAACCCTGTCCTTTAACAATTCAGATGGGTCCAGGGGGATGGCAGTGAGCTAGCACACACTCAAACAAATTGTAGGCTTAATTGCAGCTGCCAGATGTGGTGTCTATGCTACAGCCAATTAACAAAGCCTCGGGCATAGAGTCTGTAGCCATCTATCTGGAAAATAAGTTTTTTCCCATCCCTCTCGAAGAAGGATCAGAAGCAGTTTCCATTCACATGGGGTGGGCACCAGTACACATTTACAGTCCTGCCCCGGGGCTGCATTAACTATCCAACCCTCTGTCATAACAGTCTGAAGAGACACGGACCACCTGGACTTTTTGTAGAATATCACACTGGCCCACTATGTTGATGTATCCTGCTAACCGGACCAGAAGAACAAAAAAGGGAAAGTACATTCAAGAGCCTGGTGAGATATATGTACTCCAGAAAGTACAAGATAAATCCTGTGAAGAAACAGGGTCTTGCCACATCAGTGAAGATTGCAGGTTTCTGTGGTCTGCGGTATGCTATATTATCTGTTCCAAAATAAAGAAGAAATTCCTGCATCTTACACTTCACAACTCCAGGAAGGAAGCAGAATGCTTGGTAGGCCTCTTTGGGTTCTGAAAGCAGCATACGAAACACTTGGGGATATTACCCTGACCCATTTTCCCAGTGGCATGGAAGGCTGCCAGCTCCACGTAGATCACAGAGCAGGAAAAGGATCTGCAGTGGGTCAGCCTGTGCTACAAACAACCCTGCTATGTGCATTATGTGATCCAGTGGATCCTCTAAGTATGAGAGTCATTGGTGGAAATAAATACTCTGTGGAGTTTGTAGCAGGTGCCAATTAGGAGACTCATGATGTAGACGCCCCAAGCTTCTGGAATAAGGCCATACCATATGCAGCACAGAGCTATGCATTTGCAGGGGGCTGGTGGGGCCTATACCTGGTATGCTACAAGGTCCTATCAAGAGCCTGGGAAGCCAGAGCTGCCTATCGTGAGCTGGGTTCTGTCAGATCCACCAAGTCATGTGGGAGAGATGGCATAAGATGAAAGTGGCACAACCAGAATCAGGCCCAAGCAAGTTCAGAGGGCGCACGTAAACTGTTAGGGAACTGCTGATGGAAACCACCCGCCCTGGCCAGGCCCACTTGCCCGAGCTGTCCCACAATAGGAGGTCCCAATAAGGAACATGGTACTGCTGCCAAAAACTAACCTGGAGAATTTGGGCGGGGCCAAAAGAGGGAGGACACAACCAATCTCCCAGAGTCCTTCCTGCTGGAATCCATCCTGGCTGAGAGATGCACGCACCGCAGGGAAGGACCCTGTGTCAGACTATGGGCCAAGCAAGGTGACTGGCCAGAGACAATCCAGAAACTAACGCCATTACCATAAAACACGAGACTGCAAGCCACGTGGCAGAGCAGTTCTCCTGGGTTCCCTTACCCTGCTGCTCTCTGCCCGAGCGCCACTTTCCAATAAAGTCACTTGCTTTGTCGGCACGTGTGTCTTCACGGACAATTCATTTCCAAGTGTTAGACAAGAGCCCACTCTCGGGCCCTGGAAGGGGTCCCCCTTCATGCAACAAAACTACACACGTGGATGGCCCAGATCCCACGCCGTCCACCACTGGCACCCTTCCTTATGCTTATGTAAATGGTGGGGGCTGGGGGGTAGCCTGGGGGGTGGAAGGCCAAGCTGATTTCACGGAGAGATATTAGCTTCGTACATATGGATACAAGCCAAAAATAAGCCACGTCTGCACAAAGGACAGACTTCAAGGGGTGCACTTGGCCATCCACTTTGTGGGGACAAAGGTGAGGTTCAAGGTGAGATACGTGGATGTATGACTTGACTGGCTGTTCAGGGGCCTTGGCAGAGAAAGACAGGAAGATTCCCCCCTCTCCCACTTGCTTGTTCAACACCAACTTAAACAAAAGTCTTTGAGAAGTCAGTGAGACACTCCTGCCTGTGGTCAACAGTGGGTGGTGGTTTATTGAGGAGAAGGCAGACAGAAGACTGTGGAACTTGTCTCTTCACTTTCAGAGGTTCAGACACGTGCCACAGCTCACCAATTCACACTAAACCTGGCCCAGCTCCTTGGAGCCCGTCGGCAAAGTTTTCAACCCTCAATCTCTTTTAACCTGACTTTGACTGCCCATGTGATATATATAGAGTGGCACCGAAAAATGGAGACCAGGTGAATAATACAAAGCTCCAAAAGGGGCTGGAATCAGTGACCAGCAGGGTCCCTCTGGCCCTCAGATTCCATGACAAAGGAGCCAAGGCTGGGAATAGTTTCCTAGTGCAGTGGCTCCCTCACTTACTCGGGCATCAGAATCACCTGGAAAGCTGTTAAAACACAGATTGCAGGGCTCCACCCTGGAGTGGGGGAGCGGCGGGCCTGAGAATTTGCATCTCTGTCGAGTTGTCAGAGGATGCTGATGCTGCCCATTCAGAAACCACCCTTGAGAGTCACTGTCCCAGAGCAAGAAGCCAACCTTGTGAGCTCCATCACCCCCTGCTCTAGCAGCCAGCTTCAATGACGGAGGCCATGTGTGTTGCAGTTAAGAGCCTGGGCTTTGGGGTTCAACTGATCTGAGTTGAAATTTATACTCTGTCACTGATCAGAGATGTGAGCTACGGCAAGTCAACTTTATCTTATGAACCTCCATTTTCCCATCTGTAAAATGGGAGCCATGATAACATCAGCCTTCAACCTTACAGGGATATTGTGAAGATTTCATTAGATACATTGAAAAAATAGGTATGGTGTTTGGCACATAGTTAAGCCCTTGGTAAATGAGGATACAATGTCAACAGGTGATGCTAGTGTTTTGTAAACTGTAAAGTGCTGGCCAAATGTAAGAGATTACATTCTACTGACATCTAGCCTTTATTCTTCAATTCAAATTTTCATCTTCGGGGACTCAGAGAGGTAACAACACTAGGAGGAAAGCAAAGAAAAGAGACTTCGTAATGGGGTCAGTAGCTCCCCCCTCCCCAACCTTCTCTACCCCATCTCTCCTCAGCCCTGTTCTCCAAAGTCAGCTTGTTTAAAAGCAGACTTGAACTTCCCTGGAAATCAGTTTCATGTTCTTCTTACCCACAGTGCCACATGAGGGTAAGTGGTCATATTCTTGCGTCCACAGTATGCCTCCCTGTGCTTTTGTAGGATGATGTAGCCACAGCAGTTAGCACAATGCCTGGCACATAACATTTGCACAAACAATATTTGTTGAAAATGAATTAAGTTTATATAAATTAAGGAGACAGGATTTGGGATCCAGTTCTGTCTCTGGGTCAGCGTGGCCTTCGGTAAGCTACTCCTCTCACCTAAACCTCAGTTTCTCACTTGTCAGAAAGGAGATTTCTCAGGCCTCTTCCAGCTTAAGGTTACAGCTATAGTATAGTGAACAGAGATCTGTACTGGGAGTCAGTAAAGCAGGGTTGGGGGTTCAGATCTGCCACTAACTCAAGGTAGAGGAGTCATTTCCCCTCTTTGTGCCTCAGTTTTCTCACCTGTACTACGGGAAGATTTGTAAGTACCCAGCTCCCATTCTACAGTCCTGAATTTCTAGAATATATTATTGTAGGTCTATTTGGAGTTCAAGGTCAAGGTCTTTAAGGAGTATTCGATGTAATGAAAAAACAGTGTGTTTCCTCTTATCCTGAAGTGGCCACATTTCAGTGGTGGCCTCTCGGAGCTTACTGGATGAAATCTCCCATAATAATGCAAAGTAATAGTGATCACTAATATTGCATGTAATCATTAAAGTAAGTAGCATCATATTACTCTCGATTCAGATGTTATCTTTTATTTTTTATTATTATTTTTTTAGTTTTATTGATCTTTGCAATTGCTTTCTTTGTTTCTATTTCATTTATTTCTTCTCTGATCTTTATGATTTCTTTCCTTCTGCTAACTTTGGGTTTTGTTTGTTCTTCTTTCTCTAGTTTCTTTAGGTGTAAGGTGAGATTGGTTATTTGAGATTTTTCTTGTTTCTTGAGGTAGGCTTGTATAGCTATAAACTTCCCTCTTAGAACAGCTTCTGCTGCATCCCATAGGTTTTGGATAGTCGTGTTTTCATTGTCATTTGTCTCTAGGTATTTCTTGATTTCCTCTTTGATTTCTTCAGTGATCTCTTGGTCATTTAGTAACGTATTGTCTAGCCTCCATGTGTTTGTGTTTTTTATGTTTTTTTCTCAGTAATTCATTTCTAATCTCATAGCATTGGGGTCAGAAAAGATGCCTGATATGATTTCTATCCTGGTGAATGTTCCGTGCGCACTTGAGAAGAAAGTGTAAGCTGCTGTCTTTGGATGGAATGTCCTATAAATATCAATTAAATCTATCTGGTCTGTTGTGTCATTTAAAGCTTGTGTTTCCTTATTAATTGTCTGCCTGGATGATCTGTCCATTGGTGTAAGTGAGGTGTTAAAGTCCCCCACTATTATTGTGTTACTGTCAATTTCCTCTTTTAGAGCTGTTAGCAGTTGCCTTATGTATTGAGGTGCTCCCATGTTGGGTGCATATATATTTATAATTGTTATGCCTTCTTCTTGGATTGATCCCTTGATCATTATGTACTGTCCTTCCTTGTCTCGTTAACATTCTTTATTTTAAAGTCTATTTTATCTGATATGAGTATTGCTACTCCAGCTTTCTTTTGACTTCCATTTGCATGGGATATCTTTTTCCATCCCCTCACTTTCAGTCTTGTATGTGTCCCTAGGTCTGAAGTGGGTCTCTTGTAGACAGCATATAGATGGGTCTTGTTTTTGTATCCATTCAGCAAGCCTGTGTCTTTTGGTTGGAGCATTTAATCCATTCATGTTTAAGGTAATTATTGATATGTATGTTCCTATGACCATTTTCTTAATTGTCTTGGGTTTGTTTTTGTAGGTCCTTTTCTTCTCTTTTGTTTCCCACTTAGAGAAGTTCCTTCAGCATTTGTTGTAGAGCTGGTTTGGTGGTGCTAAGAATTCTCTCAACTTTTGATTGTCTGTAAAGCTTTTGATTTCTCCATCAAATCTGAATGAGATCCTTTCCGGGTAGAGTAATCTTGGTTGTAGGTTCTTCCCTTTCATCACTTTAAGTATCTCATGACACTCCCTTCTGGCTTGTAGAGTTTCTGCTGAGAAATCAGCTGTTAACCTTATGGGAGTTCCCTTGTATGTTATTTGTTGTTTTTCCCTTGTTGCTTTCAATAATTTGTCTTTGTCTTTAATTTTTGCCAATTTGATTACTATGTGTCTTGGCGTGTTTCTCCTTGGGTTTATCCTGTATGGGACTCTCTGCGCTTCCTGGACTTGGGTGGCTATTTCCTTTCCCATCTTAGGGAAGTTTTCGACTATAATCTCTTCAAATATTTTCTTCGGTACTTTCTCTGTCTATTCTCCTTCTGGGACCCCTATAATGTGAATGCTGTTGCGTTTAATGTTGTCCCAGACGTCTCTTAGGCTGTCTTCATTTCTTTTCATTCTTTTTTCTTTATTCTGTTCTGCGGCAGTGAATTCCACCATTCTGTCTTCCAGGTCACTTATCCGTTCTTCTGCCTCAGTTATTCTGCTATTGATTCCTTCTAGTGTATTTTTCATTTCAGTTATTGTGTTGTTCATCTCTGTTTGTTTGTTCTTTAATTCTTCTAGATCTTTGTTAAACATTTCTTGCATCTTCTTGATCTTTGCCTCCATTCTTTTTCCGAGGTCCTGGATCATCTTCACTGTCATTATTCTGAATTCTTTTTCTGGAAGGTTTCCTATCTCCACTTAATTTAGTTGTTTTTCTGGGGTTTTATCTTGTTCCTTTGTCTAGCTCTCTGCCTTTTCATCTTGTCTACCTTTCTGTGAATGTGGTTTTTGTTCCACAGGCTGTAGGATTGTAGTTCTTCTTGCTTCTGCTGCCTCCAGATGTTATCTTTTTTTTTTTTTTTTTCGGTACGCGGGCCTCCCACTGTTGTGGCCTCTCCCGCTGTGGAGCACAGGCTCCGGACGCGCAGGCTCAGCAGCCATGGCTCACCGGCCCAGCCGCTCCGCGGCATGTGGGATCTTCCCAGACTGGGGCATGAACCCATGTCCCCTGCATCGGCAGATGGACTCTCAACCACTGTGACACCAGGGAAGCCCCAGATGTTATCTTTTAGCTAAGAGTCTGCTGATGCTTTAGCAAGACAAATGAAGGCAAAGAGGGACTGCTATTTGAACAGGTATTTGACTATGGGCCAGTGTCTCAACCTCCCTGAGCCTCCGTCTCCTCATCTGTGAATTCTTCTCTGCTCACATCACATGGCTGTTGTAAAAGATCACCTAAGATAATGGATGTGAAAATTTGTTGAAAACTGTTAAGCTCTCTGCAAACACAAGGCATTGCCATTATGGGAACAAAAAGCAAATAGCACATGAATATTTCACAAGCATGGACTGGGACAGATTATTTGTAAAGTATTCCCATCTTATGGGGTTTTATAAGTACACACACTCTCTCCTTATTACGAACTTTCTAATAATCTCTTTCCAAATCTTACCTTCAAACTCCCTTTGTCTCTCCCATCATTTCTTAATGTCTCCTTACTTTCATAGCTATTTATTACTGAACTCTGGGTCCCATTTGGGGAGGTGGTTAGAAAAATACACATATACATATATTGTAGAGAGACAAA